AGTTGTTTTTTTTTTGTATGGGAAAGAAAAATAGTAGGAGGGAGTGTTAATTAACTTCCTGGAAAACAAAATATTAAGACCCCAGGGGATACTGCAGAAAAAAATACCCTTTGCACTTTACAATTGTCATAGGACGTCCCTGTTCACATGACGACTTTAGACTACAAAGTTCTTCAGTGTAGGTTTCAGTTCAACCCAGTGCTTTCTACATTTTGAAAGTTGCTAACACATTGGAGACACTTAGATTGATACCTCAGGTCAAATACATGTTTCTTCTGCTGATTGCTGTTTCACTTTGGCAGATGTATACACTAAGGATACAAATTTGTTGGCAAAGCATCTTCTGAAAAAGCAATATTTGACAACTGTAGAAATTATGGTAAAGTCTTTTTTTCCTCTTCCTATTGTAAACTTGAGTGCTTCTCTGGGACACTTTCTTGATGATGAGAGCATAATTTTAGGTGTTTCGTAAGTGCCACCTGTTTCAAAGCTTTGCCCTTGGTACAGGTTCTGGAACACCAAGACCCATGTGTACCCTGAATTGAAAAATGAGCTGGTGCTGACATACATTCAGAAAAGATTTAACAACTACAACTAGGTTGAGAAACAAATGTTTCAAAATGACCAGCAGGCATATGCATTGAAAAGGCAAAATGTTATTGCAAATCTAAAACTAAGAATTTTTTTTTTCCCAAATAGGAAGATAGTGTCTGAGGGAGAAAAGAAAAAAGAAAAATGCTGTGTTCAAACTATGTTAGTATTAACTGGTACTTTCATAGATACTTTATATCATCGCTGTAGACATCTACAGAGTTGTGCTCTTGCAGGACAAACTAAAAACTTTTTCTAGTTCTGTAAAGACGATTATTTCATTTTATATATTTTGGCTTATAATTTTATTCTTAGGTCAATGGTTAAATGATTTTCTTTTTAAGTCAGTTTGCAGGATGGTTATAGAAATTCTTTAGACTTAGCAGCATGAAATGAAATTAATATGTTTTTAAGCCATCTGTTGTTGTTAAGTGCTGTCAAGTTAGTTCTGACTCATGACCCTGTATAGCATTTCTGAAGAGCAGCTGGTGAATTTGAACCACTGACCTTGAGGTTCAAACCGACCTTGCAGTCCAGCATATTAATCGAAAGTGCCATTTTAAGACATTATGTGGATGGAAAAACACCTTGCATCATGCCTAAGAGTACAAAAGTGTTTCAAAAAATTGGTGGAAAAATTCCACTGTCTTTTCATTTTATTTTTCCAAGAACATTTTAAGCTCCTTTGTATACTAGGCACTGAAATAAAATTTAGTTCTCTTTGAATCAACATTTTAATTTTTGAAATTTTATTACTAGAGAGGCAAGAACCATTGGTTGCCAATTCATACTTTCCTCTATTTTTCTGAATTTGAGTCACATTAGCTCATTTGCAACAATCCAAATGAAAGTGAATTCCATCATCATACAATCACAACAATACAAAATGATTCCAAAAAATAGTTGTTTTCTTAGTAAAATTAGTAAAACCAAACTAAATGTGTGGGTTTTTTTTTTACCTTTCCACTGAGCTTTGTGTAAAAGTAATTTCTATGAATACGTATGGAACGTTTTCAAATATTTTCAAAAAGCTCTATAGTTATACTATATTTTCCAAATGTTTATAAATACTGTTCATTTTAGAAAGTCTATACATTTTTAATTAAGTGCAACTGTATATTATATGCAATAAAATAATGTAGCTGATAATACTTTCTGGAGTTCAATTTTTGTTTATAAAAGCTAAATATATTTAAACAAATTTCCCCATTTGAGATGAAATAGAAAGTAGCCACAATCAGATTAATTTTGCTATTTCATTTTCTTGAAATTGAGATCTGTTGTTTTTAAAAGAAAGCTGTCCACAAAATACTTTTATTAAACAATTCATTTGGTACCTGAGCAAATGACGGAAGCTGCCTTTTCCTTGGTAGTCATTATAAAGACACACCTCCCCTCAATTCTGTTATTGAAAAGAAGAGCGGAGGAGAAGAACAAAAGTGTTATAAAAGGATTTGGTAGCATATTAAAGTTTTGTAGTGGTTACGAATCCGGCTGTGAACCTCAAGGTCAGCAGTTCGAAACTACTAGCGGTTCCGCGGGAGAAAGATGAGGCATTCTGCTCCCATAAAGATTTACAGCCTCGAAAACCCTGTGCAGGGTCGCTATGAGTCGGAACCGACTCCACGGCACTTAACAACAACAACAACAGTATTTTAAGTTCTGTTTTTAAATTATTTTGTATTTTATTTTTATAATCTAGCAATAAAAGATTCATTCCGCAAGCAAGGAAAAAGTATTTGGTAGCATACTTCACCAGTCCTCAGTGAATTTCCTTCCATCTTCTAGAAGTAAAGCTTCACTTCCTGTACTGACTACATGACCTTGTCCTTATCAGTTTTACCTGTATAGGTTTGGGCAAAGATTAAGAACAACTCCCTCAGTTGTTTCTATGGAAATCAAGTGTCTGAGGTACGTCCTTTTTCTTACTGTTATTTCCCCTTGCCATTTTATATGTGAGAAGTCAAAAACTATATTTTCTAAAATTACATAATTCTTGTTTGTTGTTAAGTGCAGTTGAATCAGTTCCAACTCAGAAATCCTTTACAGGGTTTCCAAGAAGCAACCAGTGCATTTGAACCACTGACCTTGTAATTCAAACTGACCTAGAGGTCTAGTACGTATCCCACATTGCCACATAATTACTTAAGACCAGAATAAGGCCCAAAATCTAAACCTGCCAATATCCAAAATTGTTCAATCCATTGAATGCTGGCATATTTACAGAAGTGAGGTCTGCTGCGCCTAGAAACTTCAAGGCCTCAGCACATTTAGGACAAAATATCAACAGTAGGATGGTTCAGGGCTGACAGTGTTTCACATCTGTGCATAGGGTCTCTATGACTTGGAACTGACTCACCTGCCACTTAACAACAGTAGTTCTCCTGAGCAAGCTGTAATTGTGAATATAAAACATTTTGACACACTGGCTTCAGCTTCAAAGAAGCCTTTAAAAGGTAAATTTGGGTTACAAAAGATCTTGAGATTTTACTTTAACGAGCAACTATAAGGAGCTTTGGTAGCATAGTGGTTACAAGTTGGGCTGCTAACCTCAAGGTCAGCAGTTTGAAACTACCAACTGTTCTGTGGAACAATGAGGAGGCTTTCTTCTCTCATAAAGATTTACAGCCTCGGAGACCCTATACAGGGTTGTTATGAATTGGAACTGACGCCATGGCACGTAACCAACCAACGATAATGAGCTCTGGTAGCATTGTGGTTATGTGTTGGATTGTTAACTGTAAGGTCAGCAGCTTGAATCTACCAGCCACTCCAAGGAGAAAGATGAGACTTTCTGCTCCCATAAAGATTTATAGCCTCAGAAACCCTATACAGGGTCTGTTTGAGTTAAAACCAAGTTGACAGCACACTAGCATCATAATAGGCTCATAGTTCTCCCAACTTAAAAGCTTGATTGATTGCAAAAACAAAGCTTGGTAAGAGAGCTATCTGACACACCCTTCCCCTCACCCCTTGGTTATATATTGCAACTCTTCTTGAGGGAATGATAAATCTCTAAATGCCATCATGAGTGTAGACAAAAAGCTTTGGGTTACAGGTATTTTCTTTTTTGTATGTAAACTTCTTACAAGGGTGAAGGGAGTGATTTAAGTGCCTTTGAGCTGGTATCAACTCATCGCAACCCTATGCACAACAGAACAAAACACTGCCCAGTTTTGCGCCAGCCTCACAAATATTGCTACACCTGGGCCCATTGTTGCTGTCACTGTGCCAACCCATCTCATTAGAGGTCTTCCTCTTTTTCTCCTACCCTTCACTTTACCAAAGATGGTGTCCTTCTCCAGTGACTGGACCCTCCTGAAAATATGTCCAAAGTATGAGAGACGAAATCTAGCCCCCCTGGCTTCCAGGGAGCATTCTGGCTGTACTTCTTCCAACACAGACTGGTTTGTTTTTTTGGCAGTCCATGGTACTTTTAGTATTCTTCTTCAACACCATAACTCAAATGCATCAATTCTTCTACGATCTTCCTTATTCACTGTCCAACTTTCACATGCATATGAGGTTATCAAAAATACCATGGTTTGGATCAGGCACACCTTAATCTTTAAACTAACATCTTTGCTCTTCAGCACTTTAAAGAGGTCTTGTGCAGCAGATTTGCCGAATGCAATACATTGTTTGATTTCTTGACTGCTGTTTCCATGAGTGTTGATGGTGGATCCGAGCAAAATGAAGTCTTTGGCAACTTTAATCTTTTCTCCGTTTATATGGATGTTGTTTATTAGTTTAATGGTGAAGATATTTGTTTTCTTTACATTGAGGTGTAACCCATAACAAAGGCTGTGGTCTGTGATCTTCATCAGTATTATAAGTCCTCTTTGATTTCAGCAAGTCTGCCAGTAAGCAAGCATAATACTGAACCTGGTCCCAAATCTCCTGACACTGCTTTCGAAGAGCCTTCTACTTGTATCAGGTTACACCAACCATAGATATCAAATTACAGGTCTTGACTGTTGAATCTCTATGAATAAATTTCTCCTAGAATGAAACCTAGTCAATCTGTGACTCCTCAAAGAGTTACTGTGTCTAACAAGCATCTAAAAATTAAACTCAAGGATGCCCCGTTTTAACCCCAACATACCAGATTTCTTCTTAAACTAGGAATGATCAAAATAGCCCTTGGCTGAAAAGGTCATGTTGTCTCTCAATCAGCTTTTGCCTTTTTTTAACTATCAGTATCATGTGATGAAAAAAGTTTTCAACAAAATCATATTTAAATAAAATAGATCTTTCATCTCTTAACCCTTATCACTGAAAAGTTGGGCTATCATAGACAAGACTTAGAGGGGAACAGACAGGAAAATAGTTTCCTATGGGTAGAATTGGGCTTTATTTATCTTTGTTACCTTGGGCTCAGGAGTCCTGGTATGGAGTCATAGGGGAAGCATTGAACTGCTAACCACAAGGTAGGTGATTCGAATCTACCAGCTGCTCCTTGGAAACCCTATACAAGGTCAATATAATTTGAAACTGACTCCATGGCACTTAACAACACCCTGAGCATAAAGAGCTCTGGTGGCACAAGGGTTAAGTATTTGGCTGCTGACTGAAAGGTTGGCCATCTGAACCCAGTTGCCACTCCATAGAAGAAAAGATTAGTGATCTACTCCTGTAAAGATTACAGACTATTCAGTAGGGTCAGTAGGAGTCTGAATCAACTTGAGGATTTACAGCAACAGGATTGAGTTTAACTCCTTTGGAGTAATCTTGCATGCACAAGAAAAAGAGCAAGGCTTCCCACGAGTTTTGAAAGTCAGCTGTCAAGATCATGGGGTATAAACATTAAGGAATACAGTGATCTGATCTTTTCAGTGTATACTGAGACAGACAAACACAGAAAGAGAGGCTTCTGGACTGAGTTTACCTGGACTAAATAAAAAGGAAGGCAGATGTCAGTGGAGTTTTGATGGTGTTTGTTCACTGTGAGAACCAAACTATTTGAAAATCTGACGGACCTAAGGAATTCAGTGCAATTTAGTTTACACCAGCAGCTCCACTTAATATAGGGAGGGGCCTACAGATTGAAGAT